GTTTTTATAGTCTACTTGTACTGTTATTATGTTTAATTTTTTGACAAAAATTCATTCAATATTACAGTCTGTGTCTTGTTACCATGAATCTTTTTCTTCTTTGTTCTGTAAGTCAATAGTTTTTACACAGGAAATAACTATCCTGTTGGCGAAGGAAAGACTTCGAATTAAGTCCGTTATATATATATATATTGTTTTTGGATATTTATTAATGTGGTCCGCATCATTCGCTATAAAATAAAATTATGTAGTTGGACCTGATACTTAAATTTTTACGTATCGAATAAATATAGGATTTATGCATTCGGACCAAGAGTACATAAACTTTGTTCTAACATACATAATATTATTACCACATCTTATCATAATACATAAACGTTACGTCTCTAAAATAATCAGTTAATTACATTCTTGTTTAGTTACCTAACCTGTAAACTATTACGTTTGACTCTTATGTATTGAGGACCATAAAATTTTATAAATTTAAACAAAGCCGTTGAAAAAAAATGACTACCGTTTTATTAAAGATGTTTATTGTCTTCATCCGGTTTATTAAGACACTCACCATATTAGGGGTGTAAACCTCTACATTGCAATTAGACTTTAATGCAGAAAAAATACATTGACACTTCCCTTATGTCAACTGAAAACTAGGACTTATGGATCAACCGCATAAGAATGACTCATGTACGTTCCAAAAGGGGGATTACAAAAGTCGTCGTCCGCGACGCGCAGACGACTTTTTGTTATACGCGCGCGACGATTCCCCGCGTTCCGTTTCGTCTATTTTTTTTTTAATTTTTTTTTATTAATTTTATAATATTCACGACGTCCAAAACTATTGGAAAGTAATCAGGTTACATTACCTTAATATTTTGAACCTTGGATTAGGTTACTGATTACATTTCTTACAGGAAACTAGTACATTTAATGGAATGCATTTTTACAGTTCCCCTCCCAACCCTGGTCGTGACTGATATAAAAAGTGAGGAGGACTGCTGAGTCTTGTCTGTAATGAACTCTTCTCTGCAGTCTCTAATTAATTTACTAAACCCAGGGCAATCCTCACCCGAGGAACTAGCAGCAGCTCTCTCTTTCGGTGGACTCTAATGTTATCTATTAGATCTAATTGGGAGGTAATTTCCTGCGCTGCCACAGGACTCTCGTGGATGAACACGCTCACAACATCAGAGTCCGAGCAGATGGTGCAGGATCACAGGAACATGAAAGCATCGCTCCTGATGTGTATGCCTTTTAATCTGGGAGGTTGGAAAGGTTGACCTGCCAGTTTCAGAGCCAGATGTTTCCCTTCTGTTACTTCCTTTAGCACGGCTTTGAATCTTATTGTCTTAACAATAAGCAGTTTGGTAACGGTTTCAAAATAACCAACTTATTTCATATCCTTTTGTTCTCTGAAATGTGCTTTTTCCAAAACATGTTTAATACTGTATGTTTCACACAATACACATTAGTGAAAATGAGATGTATTGTGCGATAAATGAGGAACAAGATATCCACGTTTTTAAAAGATATTTCTTTAAGCATTGTTACCAATACAAAATACCGTTAAAGATCCATGTTACTTTCAGTCATAGCTACAATCAAATCTTTAAGGTGATTGAAATCTAGATGGGATCTTTGCACCTAACCACATATTGTCAATGTGTCTCTATTGACACATCTTATCATGTCCGTCTTGAATAACTATTGGACGTGTTTAGCTTCTGTAATTCAATACCATAATGTTTTAACTTGAGATGCATGAAGTGGCGAACTCCAGTTGTCACATCCTGTTTTAAACCCCCGTTTTAACGGCTACAGTATGCAGTGTTTTTGCATCTGGGAACCATCAAACTCATGGATTTAAACCTCGTCTTCATGGATCATACTTTCGTCTCAACGATACCAGAAACAGGTTTGTCCATGTCTATTGTTTTATTTTGAAATGTGGTAGCTTTTGGTCGAACTCACTTAGCGATGAGTGCACCAAATTATTTTTCCATGACACATAGATAACATAACTGTTTGTAAACCATATTCAAAACCCTTTCTGTCTGTAGTTAATGTGTTCATCTTATGAACCTATACAATTCCAAGTAAGATGTTTTAATCCGGTCCCTCAGATCCACCTCAGCCAGTTTGCTCTCAATCCCCAAGGCCAAACTCCGGAGCTTCGGGGACAGAGCCTTCTCTGTGGCAGCCCCGAAGCTCTGGAACTCCCTCCCCCAAGACCTCCGTGAATCTGAGTCCCTCACCCTGTTCCAGTCCCGCCTCAAAACCCACCTCTTCAACTCTGTATCAATCACTTATCCAAAAGTGATTGAATCCCCTGATATTAGTGGAAGACAGAATTGTGTAGTGAAAGTGAGGCTTATAGAAAACTGATCTAACCACCATTGTCATCATTTATAGCCATTACATACAGTTATCACTTGTCACAATGATAACTGAAAGTAAAAACCATTCTTTTGCTAATTTGAACTTTCTATCATCCCTTGAAGCAGTGCTATCCTTTTCTTAGAAACACCTGGCACTTATCCAAGCCTTTCAAGGAATTACATTAGAAAAGGTTAAATTACTCATCTTGGGGGCAAAAACTGCCTGAGAGGAAATGTTGAGGAAAACTTTGTTTGTTTGTGGCAATTAAAGTTAAATGATTATCTGGAATTTCTTTATATGATTTATCGCAGCTTCTGTCTCTCTACAGAATTCCAAATGATAATACTTACTGACTGCAGCTTGCACTTAGTTGTTACTAGTGACTTTAACACAGTGATTGTTGATTGTGTACGTATAAACCCCCGCTTTTCAAATAGATTCAGTAGATTCAGCCACAGTCACTGTAGTGGATAATTAGAGTTAACTCAGTGTTGGCACTTTGTGTCCATCACTAGGTTCACCCAGGTGTGTCGGCCAAAACACCACTTAAGGCCAAAGGTCCACAATAAAGGAAATGAGGATGAGGCTTGACTTCTTTACTTATTTAGGCAGACATACAGATATTTGTCTGTGTGTGGTTTTTCCTACAAGGGAAATAAACAAAATACAATCAATATAAGATAACTTATGCATACATAAATAATATACATAATAATGCCAAACCCTATAGAAATAATAATTTAGACAAGCTTAGACAATTTAGACAAGCTATATTACAAGCTATAATACAACGTCTCCCTTCTGTTATAATCATAAACACATTAACATATCATGTCAAACACTCTTTATCCTCAGTAAAAGATACTAAAGGACAGCTGTGTCTCATGGTATAAATAGGTGTCTATACGTTGGCTATCAATAGTTCGATCCTCATACCCTAATGTCACAAAGTGTCCTTCGGCAAGATTTTTAACGTGACTACAGTATGGAAGTGTATTGAAGTTGCTTTGGATATAAGTGCAGATATAACACATGATAATGTAAAGACATTCTAAAATGATCCGAAATAGAAACCTACCCATTTCCAGTTTTGGTATAGTGGTTTTATCAGGCCTCGTGAGACATCAGGTAATCCACGAGGAACACCATATTCTTGTGATAAGTGTCAACCAGTGTGTATTAGAGGATGACAGCTTCAGAAATGATAGCTGCTGTCAATGTTATACAAATGGCAAGGACTCTGGTGTAGAAATTGATATGATAATTAATACACTTGTAATGTTCAGATTAGCATGGCGCTAATTCATACTGGGAAATGATGATGATGCTGTTACTGAGAGTTAAGAGAATAATAATTGTGAAACCCTGATAACACTTCAGTATTTATAATGCTCACTGGGTGGTTGTCAGTAGTCAGCTGTTGATCTAAGCTCCTCTCGTCTCGATGTCTCGCTTCTTGGTGCCCATCCGCTCATCTTCCTGTAAGTGTTTATAGACTCGGGTTTTACCTTAACATGGGCTTTGAGTGTTCTTACTGCTTGTGTTTTGCTATTCAAAGTAGTATTTGTTGCATTTGGAACTTTATTTGCCATTATTTTCACTCGGATTGATTCAAAACTACTGTAGAAATACAGAACAATTGCGGGAAATTAATGGAGAAAATTTGAGTGTTGAGATAATGTTTGATTAATTTATTGCACAAATATGGCACAAATGGCGCTGGTTATGTCTACAAATCTTGGTATATCCTGGCATATTCCTTTATTTTATATGGTTATAAATACAATACGCGAAAAATGTATTACATTTACTGATATATTTTATGTCGTAGAATAAAACATTGAAATCTCTTTAGATGGTATGAATGACAGACCTTATTTCGGGCATTTATAAGCAAAAACACAGAAGAAGAACATGTGCGTCCACACCTGCCTTGTATAGTCCGGTTGAATCAAACCCTGGTGCGTTTAGCCGCTTGGTGCGGTTCATTTGGGTCGGTGTGAACACAGTCCGAGACCTCTTAAGTGAACTAAACAACCGGACTCTGGTCCGCTAAAATAGGTGGTCTCGGAGCGCTTGCTTGCCAACTCTGGAGCGGTTCATTGCTGGTGTGAACGCAGTCCGCACCAAAACATAGGAAGCGCAGTATTTACGTGTCACAAGAACGCAGATATCTTCAAAAATCTTTAGCGAAAGAGTCTTTTAAGACACCCGCGGTTGTTTAGTTAAAGAGTGAAGCAGAATGAAGTGTTGAACAGTGACGTGTAAAGTAACAATTCTCCGTCAGCTACATCAAAATAAGAACACCTGTCGTCGGTGAAACGCCCCTCCTTACTGCAGAACGTCTCTTATTATATGTGTTATAATGTTTTTTAACGGACGTTGTCTGATGATATATATGCGCGGGCCGCTAGTGTCTGTTGATCTCCAGATTAACAGCAGCATGAGAATAACCTGCCGAAAGTGCCGATGCTCCATGGCGGAGGCTCCGGTAGAAATTGCCGGGATTTGCGTTTTTACCCCCTTAATGTCTGACCAATGGTTGAACAGCATTTCCGTGTACATGACTTGTGTTTAAAGTTTATAGTCCGTTTGAGTTTTGCCCATGTGAACGCAAACCAAACCTTCTGAAAAATGAAACAATGTAACAAACTGTAGTCAGGTGCGCATCAGAACACGGACTATTAGGTATGAATGCGACAAGGGAACCTCAAGTGTAAATGCTGACTAATTTTCCTTTCATTATTACGGTACAATCCTGCTCTACATTGTGCTTGTCGTATTAGAGGTGTGTTTCAGCTGATGGACATGTCTTCTCTGTGTCCCCTGCAGCTGCCATCATGTCCTCAGTCCTCCAGAAGCTGATCAGCCCTCTGGCCAGCACCCCTGCTGAGCCCCCGAGGAACAAGGTGACCGTGGTGGGGGTGGGCCAGGTGGGCATGGCCTGCGCCATCAGCATCCTGCTGCGGGTAAGACACAACCACCCCGTCACAATGGGTTTACTCATATAAGAACAATAGTAAAGCACCATTAGAAAAATATGATTCATTGCCATATGTGTAAATTGCAATTTATTTTACAGAAGTGACAGTGTACTGCCATTTACTTTTAAACACAGCATACATGGCAGTTGTAATGGATGTTTAATATGTCTTCACAGGTATACAGATATATATTTTAGGCTGTAAATGCTGATATATTGTCCTAACATTAATTTGGCTGTGAGTGGATTCAAACTCTTGTTGCTGTTTAAATCCTAAATGTGCTATCCACTGACTATATCCCCAAATATTAGATATTCATATTTGATTAAATAAAAGTAAATGCAATGAAAAAACACAAGGAACCATGCCTGCATGTGTTACATTATAGTTTACGCACCTTTTCTACATTATGTATATTTATTTTTGTATTATAATGATACCTATAAGGTATGAGCATATTAAAATCACATATGTAATATGCATATATTTTCATGTTAGTAATACACACAGGAATATTTGGTTACATATCAGTGCATTTTGTTTTTATGTATATGAAAAGCAGATAATAAATCACAATTACCTAGTATGATTATATATGTTTGCCCATATGTTCATAGATAAATGACTGCAAGGAGAAAAAGTATGTTTATATGAGCCATTATGAATTTTCTAATGAGGTATTTCTTTTAAATTAATTTGATAAATTATACAGTATTTCTATTTTCCAGTAGATGTTTCCTGCCAAGCAATTGTTCTAGATGTGAGTCACAAAGTGTAGAACTGTGAAGTTGAGGATTATGAATGAAAATGTCTTCCTATTTGTGTTGACGATTAATATTAAAATTCAAAAATGAAAGTTGAAGTAATACAAGGCATCTTTACCATCAAAACTAATCATATTAAAATCAAATGTAAACCCGGTTGAATAAAAAGGATAGATGCTTGCCAAGTTAAAAGTGAGATGGACCTAACTTCTCTCCTTAATAATCATCTTCCTGCGCATCCTCCCATCTTCTCCCTCTCCTCTCCCCCTCCTCCTATTTTATGAGAACTGTCTTCCTCTCTAACTCGGTCCTGATTTATGTAGTGTACTCGGTGTCTACCATAGTCAGTCTCATTGTTCTACAACGGACAATTTTAGGTTTTACACGATAACCAAATTTTTGCCACACTCCCACCGTTGTGTGTAAAATATGTGGCTCTCTCGCGCGCCGCCCTCTACATANTAGCAAATGATCACACCCCCCCTCTCTACAGGACCTGTGTGATGAGCTGGCTCTGGTGGATGTGATGAAGGATCGTCTGAAGGGGGAGATGATGGACCTGCAGCACGGCAGCCTCTTCCTCAAGACCTCCAAGATAGTGGCTGACACAGGTCATTTTACCTGCTGCTGCCAAACATCTGCACTTTAAAAGAAACATCCCTGGATATCTCTTCATCAGATTCCCTTTCTCTCCTCTTCCTCCAGACTACGCGGTGACGGCTAACTCTCGCCTGGTGGTGGTGACGGCCGGCGTTCGGCAGCAGGAAGGCGAGAGCCGCCTGAACCTGGTCCAGAGGAACGTCAACGTGTTCAAGTCCATCATCCCCCAGATCGTCAAGTACAGCCCCAACTGCACCCTGGTGGTGGTCTCCAACCCTGGTGAGTACGATACATGATCATCTCTGGGTGTCAAGGGGAGAGGAGCTGGGTTGGATCTATTTGCAGAAGAGTTGTTCACATAGAGACTAACATTTAAGGCATATCTAGACAAAGCAAGACAATCCAAAACAAATGTGACTAAACAGAAAACCAACAAAAAACTGGGTTCATGACATCGCGTTTGTGTGCATGTGTAATGTTTACTAAGTATATTACATATCAATTCCATTCAAATAGCTTTATTAGGATGACCATCATTTGATTTATACAATTGCGATATCTATACTGTACATACATATACATTGGGAATGTATTGTTGAGTGCATGAACATTTTTAACAAATGCAAGAATACTTTCCTTTTCATGGAAAACAATATGTCGTTTTTGAACATAAACTAGAAAATGTATTTAAAAAAACACAGAACGATAGAAAAAGTTAAGCTTGGTTATTGATGATTCTGCAGGATGATGCTGATTGTCATTTCATATCATATATTTATAAGAAAATAATTATAAAAGACGTGAGATGTGAGACCTGGTGTAGCAGGTCGGTCTGATTCTCTCATGTTTTGACAGCTTTCCCTTCCTAGTAATATTTGTAGTTTTTCTTTTTCAAATAACTGAGGCTGCCCTATTATAGCATTTTGGTAAGAATTGTTTCTGTACAGGTTTGAACTTTTGGCATTGTAGGAGAAAGTGCTTCTCTGTTTCCACAGCGGTTCCTCCACACTGTTGGCATAGTCGCTCCTCATTCGGCAGCCATTTTTTTTTAATATACTGTATATCTATAACTCCACCCTCCTTCCACAGTGGACGTGCTGACCTACGTGACCTGGAAGCTGAGCGGTCTGCCTAAGCACCGCGTCATCGGCAGCGGCACCAACCTGGACTCGGCCCGCTTCCGCTTCCTGATGGCCGAGCGCCTGGGCATCCACGCCAGCTCCTTCAACGGCTGGGTGCTGGGCGAGCACGGAGACACCAGCGGTGGGTACAACACGGGGAACACACTCCATTATTTACTGTCAGTTAACAATCATAGGAATATTTGTCGGATATTGTTGGGAAAATAATGAATGTACTCTTCTAATTTCAGAGTAGCACATGATAACAAAGGCCCTACGTAGCTGTGTATGTAATAGGATGTATGATTACCTGGAAGAGCATCAGGACACACTGTTTTAGGCATATGATAGCTTTGTGACAACGATTGACATGATGATTCAGCCTCTATGGAGATAGACATATGACAAGCATGATCATTTCTGACCTGAGCTAATCTAAAAAAACATTGTATACTGCTTTGAACCGGTATTCCTGCATCTCGTGAATGTGTAACACCCTCTATATCAGCATCTGAAGGATCGGGGAACTAGTTGTACCATATGCTCTGTATGTGATGACTACTTCCATTCTTGCAAGGATAATAAATACATGTATCCTGATCTTTTTCTAAAAGATATGGTGAATGTAATTTGACCTGAAACATAGATCAGTATTGACTTTATGTGTCGTTGTTTTTTCAGTGCCTGTATGGAGCGGTGCTAACGTGGCAGGAGTCAACCTGCAGAAGCTGAACCCTGAGATTGGCACTGATGATGACAGTGAGCAGTGGAAGGCCACGCACAAGGCTGTAGTTGACAGGTACGGAGTGTGTGAGGAAATGTGGGAGAGCGTGAACAGATAGCAAAACCAAATTAGGTTTGACTTTCAGAAAACTTAATTTATCAAGAAGACCTGGCAAATCTCATCAATTGTCTTCTCTGTTAAAAAAACAAAAACACGTCCTTTCTGTGTTTGTGATTTGTTAGAATTATCCTGGTGTTAAGATGATAGACACATATATTAAGTGTCTGTAGTTTTTTTACAATGAACAATGAGGATAAATCATGAAACCAAAACATTTAATTTGTTTACAAATAATGAAATCTGCTGTTAAGTGCTATCATGTACTTGATAATGAATTGTTTTTGCATTGTTTATCATGTCTATCAGCGGCAGAGCTGTAAGTGCTTCTGTTATCTGAGGCCATGACTGATTCCCTTTTTGGATAAAGTGGCCCCAGGGGGAATGTAACCTCTAACCACGATGTGTTAGTGCCAGCTTCAGTCGATACAGCCTGGCATCAAAGACAGCTATTGTAATAAGCTGGTTATGTTAGCAGACATTACTCTTTATAATTCAATCTTATGATGGCATAACCAATTGATTAGTATTGAGCCATCTAGGCAGTTACGGTCTACTTATAATAAGACGTGCTAATATTAATAATACTTTACATTTATAAAGCGCTTTTCCTGGTGCTCAAAGCGCTTACAAGCAAGTACAAAATGGTATATATGCTTTAGTCATGAAATTACACATTGTAATGTAGTTACTTACAGAATATAATGCACAACATAGTTTTGCAATACAATTACAATAGATTGTGTTGTATGATATCTACAAAAATAGAGAATTATGTTTGCATAATGAAATAGATTTGACATCCATTAGGTGTCAGTTCTCTACAAGTTCTAGTCAGATCGTACACTTTTGAGAGGGTTACTGTATCGATGTTGAGCGTGTGTTGCTTTGTTTCCAGTGCCTACGAGGTGATCAAGCTGAAGGGCTACACTAACTGGGCCATCGGTCTCAGTGTGGCCGACCTGACTGAGAGCATCATCAAGAACATGAGCCGCGTCCATCCCGTCTCCACCATGGTCAAGGTCAGACACACAGGACATACACACACTCAAAACATGGGATTATTGGCTAAACTATTAGCCACCATTGTTTTGTTGTAATTTGTTAATTGTTAATTTCACATTGCACGTTTTACACAAGGCCTTAATTTCCAAATAATTTCAGATAATACTATGCCTTAACACAGTACTTATTACGTAACTTATTTGCCACTAATGGTATTACAATGTACAAGTGATATGGGGTCTTCAGGACACTACTTGGTCGTTTTTTGGACTTGTAGCAAATGATCACAACCTTCATCTATGCTCCTCGCTATTTTTAAAAGTTCTCACTGAGATTGTCCAATTTGTATAATTTTGAAAAATACTAAAATCCCATGTTATATAAAACAATTCACATGAAACAAATTATTATTGTAATACTTTTAGATCTCTTATTCTAAAGCAATCATACTCAGAGTTATGTATTTATATATATCAGGGGGACTTGGGGTTTTGTGATTGTTGTTCTATTTTAGAATGAAAGAAAATAAATAAAAACAAATTAAAATAGGTATATAAACACAAGCAGTTAAAGTAAGAATGTGCAATAAAAAGGTAAAATAAAACATTTAAATGTACAAAAAAATAAAAATTATTACAAATATTTTGTAAATAATTATGATAATAATCAACTCCTTATCTCTTTTCCGTACCGTACACGATGAATGAATGATGGGTGTGAGCAGAAGAAAAGACTTGACTGTGAGAAATGACATGTGGGAGGTGACGGAGTTTCTGTGTTTGTTTTTTCCCTGCTGCTTGTAGTTCAGGTATTTGAGTCGATCAGCAGAGAAGATTCATGTCTTTTGTCTGAACTCACGTTACGAATTTGAATACTTGGAAATGAGGAGAGGGGAATTTGTTTATTGCTTTGTATCGCAGGCCAGATGAGTCTCATCAACGTGTGTGTGTGTGTGTGTGTGTGTGTGTGTGTGTGTGTGTGTGTGTGTGTGTGTGTGTGTGTGTGTGTGTGTGTGTGTGTGTGTGTGTGTGTGTTTTCAGGACATGTATGGTATCGGGGAGGAGGTCTTCCTGTCTCTGCCCTGCGTGCTGAACAGCAGCGGTGTGGGCAGCGTGATCAACATGACTCTGACGGACGCCGAGGTGGGCCAGCTGAGGAACAGCGCCGACACACTGTGGGGCATCCAGAAGGACCTGAAGGACGTCTGAACACACACACACTCAAAACCCTTGATGCAGAAGCCTGCTGATACGCACATATAACCCCATTAGACTGTATCTCTTATTTTGAAGGAGAATACAAGTGTTTTTCATCATACAGCGTGATTTAACTGTTTTCATCAGTGCTGCAAAATGTCATCGACTTCCTGTCAATCCATTTTAAGTAAAAGAAAACACTGGTATGCTCCTTTAAATGAACAGATTTCCTCCCCAGTAGTTAAGCTGAAGTTGTTTCTGTGTTAAGAGATGTAAAACGACCTGTGTTACTGTACTCTGTTAACAGTTTGGAGTAGGATAAAGCACAACCCTAAGAAGTCTCTCCTTGTACCCTCACGTACAGTCGTTCCTTTAGCCCCCGGCAGGAAATCACTAAGAGAAAGACCATAAACCTCTAATGAAAGACCGCAAATATCCAAAAGGACGCCTATTTCCTTGCACCTTTGTCTTAAAATGGTACCCTACCGAAATGAAATTGTGACATTGTAAATGTGAAAGTGGGTTTTCGTCCCCCCTGTTTCCTCAGTGTTAGCAAAGAGAGATGGAGCAGTGTGGGAGGAGTGGGGATGTCCAGCACAAGTTTTTTTGTTTTACTGTCTGACCCTGTGTTTAACGTAATACATTTGAACCTAAAGAAAAGAAGTGTGTCTGTTTTATTTTGTACCTTTGTTAATAATGCAGCCATTGAGGATATTAATAATTTACTCATTATAAAAATAGGCACAACTGTGCAGAGAATAAATCGGTTACAAGAAAACATATTTTGCTTCTATAAAACCACATGGATTAAACAAATAATCGTCAATTGCTTACCACATATAATGTTTAAAATATTAGGTACATTCCAACAGAAACGCTTATTATAAACGTATTTATGCTTAGAACAACAGTAATGAATGCATATAGGGATATTATATCAATCAATCCTTTATAGAGTTACTTCCCAGCTTTAGGATCAATTTCTGTAACCAATGCCATTCAAGTATCAAAGAGTTAAAAGATGAGGTTATCAGATGTTATAGAATGAAATCCTTTTTTAAAAGCTATACACCTGTAGCCTTTTCCGGTAATGCTGTTCATCTTTTTTTTCTACATTAGTGGAAAAAATATAACAGATCCCAAACATTTCGGTAAATAACATTTTGGGAATCATAAATAGGGACGGTATTAATATACAATTTCAAAATGTACTAATGTCGATAAAACATTCTGTGATACTGAGCCAGAAGAAGTTACGCTTTTTTTTGTAATTTAAAATGAAATTAGTTTTGAACAGATTTCTGGATTTAAATGTAACACTAGCTTTTTGTTTATTAATAGTAAATATGCTATTGATGGGTGAATTTGACAACATTTTCGACATCGTCCCAAATTACATTTTCAATTTGACAGAATAATCTCATACACACGTTCCTTCCGCTTCCTCAAGAGAGTGTGACATGTAATGTAATGTGTCTAACAAATGACATGTAATGTAATGTGTTTATTTAACTAATATTCAATAGTATTTCAAAATAAGTAATGAATGATGCCTATTGAATCATGCTCAACGTAACTGCTGAACAACGTGTGGACTGTGTGTTGTCTGTAGTTTAATTTAAAAACTGCAGAAAACTGAAAGAGAGCATTTTTTATGTTATAGAATAAAGCACTTTAATTGTGAAAGTAAGAACATCTTCACCAAATAATAAAAGTCCATTACATTTTTTTATTTAGACAGCGCAGATTCTTAGAAATAATTTCACAGTTAAGGTAGGTAAAAAAGTTGTATTCACAGAAACACATCTTTTTATCTCAAGAAAAATGCAATTTTCACATACAAGCGGAAAGACTCTTGTCACATGTTGGAATTCTACCAATGGGACACAAGTCCTCAGAGGATAACTCACATCTGTTTCAGATAGGCACCTCCACATCTCGCGAGAATAGAAGAAGGGGTGAGAGTTTATTTCTCCTGGCTCTTTTCACAGCTCTCCTGTAGATGTAGCCGTTGTACCGTTTCCCGAAGCGGAGCCCGAACGCGTTGATGTTGAATTTGCTGCGGCGGTCGTTGCACAGGAGCTGCCGCTGGTCCTCGTTCTCTCTGAGGGACATACACGGGGCGCCATATTCCGTCAGAAAGTCTCCTGTAGACCTCCGGAGGGCGGAGAGGACGGACCCTGAGGGAAGAGCAGCACACATCCGCTCACAGTTAAACATGCACTTTACACGTGCTTCTGAAAACCAAGCGAAAAAGCAAATAATGACTAAACTTAACCTAACAAGTTCAACTAATTAAGGACTATATTGAATCTTACTCACTTACACATAAAAGCTCATATTTATATTGGTGCTTCTAGGTTATCTGTCGCCACTTTTTGTTGTTTCTTTCAAACTCTCTAAATACGCACTCTTTTTGTTTTTTTCAGACTCTAAATTAATGTTTGTTATTTTGAGAAATACAAAAATTCATGTGGAGGAGCCAGCAACCCGCCATTTAAAAAGTGGTGACAGATAACCCAGAAGTATACCTTTTTATATTTGTTCAGGTAGCCTACCTATTAAACTATATTTTCTGTATGTCTTAGTTCTCAACATACATTTGTAAATATTCAAATCCAGACTTTAAGCCTGGGATTAAAATAAAAAGTTCTGTATTTAAGAAGGGCGTATTTGAAAAATGACTTGCTTAAACAGTTATATTATCATTATTATCATTAAGTTTAAATGGCTATTTTGTCATGACTTAACAGTATTTACATTCCCAAAGCATATTTACATGTTAATAGTAATTAGGTTACATTAAACTAATAACAATAGACTGAAATATAGGGTGGAACAACAACAAAGTAAGCAAAAAAACATTGGATATAATATCAAGGTATAGAGGTTACGGTAACTGTCAATCATTTCCCCTTTGCTCCATGGCAGGAATCATAATCTAAAAGCTCTAAAAAAAAAAGAAGATCCATCATACATTATTTAAAAAATATATTTCCCTTTTTTCTTGTTGGTAGGTAGAGCTGATTTTAAAGAGGCCTACTTCATTGAAAATTGAGTAAGTGTTATTATTAGATTTAAGATGATTATATGTTGTCTTTGCAAAGTTGCCTACTAAAATGGGCTCTATCCGTGAAGGACATTTTAAATTAAAGCCTTTTTTTTTTGTTTAATTTAATTAGGTTTCCCACCTGTTGTGCGTGTCCTCTGTGAAGAGTCAAATCCCGTCAGAGCTGTGTCCACACTTCGTCCCTCCTGAGCCACAATGAGCCCGCACACCACAGCCAGAGCCAGAGCCACAAGTCTCATGTTGGGGCAGAATCTGGGTCCGAGCAGTTCAGATAAAAAGTGTCAATGCTCACCTACTCATATCAGACCTGCTTTATATTTTCTCACGGTGACCTCTTGCACTTAAAGCTCACAGCCAATCACAGTGGTGTGCGTCCCTTCTGTAAATTGCGGAGCTGCTGCTGAAATGTGTCCCCCATCAGCTCTTCTGGGAAATGTTGTCAGCTCTGTTCACTTCTGGATCCTTCATCCAGTTCAAAATAATATGTTCCTGCGTGCTGAAAAATGGCAAATTCGTAAACATTTTAAAATTAAATAATTGACGGAACCAAGGCTTGCGTAATTGCACAATTCAGGTTCCAGTTTGGATACAGTGATGCATAAAGAGGCAGCAGAATGTTGCACTGAGTTGTTACACTACATTTGATATTGAGCTGAGGCTTTTATCCAAAGTGACTTACAATAGTTGGAAAAAATTAATTGAAACTGTTTTTTATTCCCTGTGACGTAAGTCTGGAAATCCATGTACACCAGTTACCAATTTGTTTTTTGCATTAAACACATTGGCATTTATACCATAGATTACATTTTTCAAATTAATACGACATATTATGTCGTTTTTCCTGATATTTTCGACATACACTATGTGATTTTTTTCACATTTTTAGACATACTATGTCGTTTTTGTGTATTTATCGACATACACACAGCCATTGAAGAGGAGTGGACCAACATTCCACAGGCCACAATCAACAACCTGATCAACTCTATGCGAAGGAGATGTGTTGCAGTGCGTGAGGCAAATGGTGGTCACAGCAGATATTGACTGGTCTTCGCACCCCCCCAGACCCACGCCGTTGTATTACGCCGATCCAGGAGTCCAATTCCCGTGCTCAATGAGTGACATGTTAGGGTTAATGGTTCCAGCCCCCAGGGTTTTCAGACCCCCCCACTAAAGCAAACTGGACGTTTCAGAGTGGCCTTTTATGTGGCCAGCCTAGGACACCTGTGCAATAATCATGCTGTCTATATCAAGCATCTTTGATATGCCACTCCTGTGAGGTGGGATGGATTTATTCTCTCGGCAAAGGGAAGAAGTGCTCACTTCACCGATTTTTTCAGGAATTTGTGAACAATATTGAGAGAAGATGGTTATTTTGTGTATATAGAAAATGTTTTAGATCTTTGAGTTTATCTCATGAAAAATTGGGTAGCCAGAAAACAAAAGTGTTGCGTTTTGGTATTTTTGTCAGTGTCTATAGTATGTTAATTGTAGGAATAAAAAAAAGAATGTATGTCGACATTCAAAAAACACATGTGCAATAGGGAATGGCATGGTATTGTATGTCTAACAAAGTTGAAATATAGAAACGGCAAAGTATAGATTTTTTGCATTCACATATCCAGCCAGAAGGGTCCAATAGGATGCAGCTGCAAGCAGTGTTCAGACAAACATTGCTGTGGAAGCGTCTCGCTCTACTTAGGCTTCTTGACCATTTACACTTGAAAGTCAATTTCTTTTCATATCCTATGTATTTTATTTTTCGTGAAAGGGCGTCTTTTTAACAATTGGGAGGGCTAATCATCCTTTTTTGGTTGTCTTTGGTTTGTGCATTTTCACATGTACGCTTTTTTATGTTGGTTAACAAGTATTTATTGAGTATTATTTCTGGTATCCAAAGAAATTTGGATAGTGCAATTTACTTGAAGTCAAGAAGTCAAGAGCCTACAAGACATTTTCTTTAATAAGCTCCATGTAAGTGCTGGTGCATTGTCTCAATTGACTTAATTCTAGAATTATCTATTTTTAGGGTGGACAAAAAGTGGGTTTAGTGCAAGGGTCTAATGTTTCAAATAATCTAAAGTGATATTAACTAAAGAAAAGGCATTCTGGTAATGATATCATGCAGATTGAGACATTCCTGCATCTGTTGCTTCTTCTTTCTAGTAGAGAGCCGCTTTCTATCATCATTCTCAATCTTTTTTTTTTTTCTGACAACTTTTTTTGGTTTTTTTGCCTCAAAAAAGTGGAATCAGATCATATATGACCTACAAAAAGAAGGCAAAGAAAGAAAAAATATAGGGAATCCTTTCCATGCCCCGTCCCCCCCTCTTTCCCACCATCTTGCCATTCAAGAAATCTACTGAGGTTGCAATCGGATCTATATCTATATATTTATTTTTGCTACAATTTATGCATACCAATTTGGCATAACCTATCCACATAAAACAATCATACCTTTTTTTTCCATAATTTCATCTGTTTAGCTGAAGCGTATAAATCCTATACATGCCAAGTGTGTCGTACGCCTCATTCATGAATGATCACCGTTAAGCGCTTTTGAATGCCTTTAATGTTTCTCCTTACTAGCAGAAGGTTGGACGCTTTGAGTTTAGTAGGTCATGGAAGAATGATATTATCATAAGGGGGTCGTATTACTATACATTGTGCTGGGACCAGCCGAAAAGCCTTTGATGTGGAGGGAATAAATACATTATTGGAACAGGGTATGTGACTCCAATAATCTCAGTACATGTATCCTGTTTCAGAACTGTTCTTACTGTCAGTTGTTCATACCATGTGTACATAGGTGCCAATAGTGTTTTGGTTACAGAGAAGGCATATGGGGCTTGGAATCATCCTGAATTGACAGCATGCTCTGGTCGACAGGTAATATCTGTGTATCATTTTATATTGTATCAATTGGTGATTGTGGTTACGCGATGTTAAGGAGATATTATTCCATATTCTCTTCCAATCAATAGTCTGCGTAGAATTTTTTAGATCTGCGTTCCATACTGCAGAGATAGCAATATATCCGGTTAATTTATCTTGCAGTTTTTTATATATATATGAAGTAGTGCCGCTCACACTGTTTGGACTTAATATGACCTTAACTAATTGATGTGTTGGCAGAGGTTGATTCCAAGGAACTCCATATGTGCGCATAGCAGTACGTAGTTTCAAATAGAAAAAGAAAGAAGAGCCAGGCACATTATACATGTCTTTCTATTCTTGGAAGGACATCAAGCCGTTGTCGTTGGTTATGTCAGAAAGATAATGTATTCCTCGAGTTTGCCATTGTGGGAATTGGATTGCTTTTTTCCCAATACGTAGTAACAGGTTATAAAAAATGGGTATGTTACTCTGCCGATCTACAGACCAATTGCACAATTTCTCCACATGTTTGCACACTTTCACGGCTTATCTGATTCTTAGGTATTGGTTTTTCCAAATATAATTTGAAATCCTATTCTGAAGTTTGTCCCAAAAAACGTCTGGTGGAGATAAAGGTAACATACTAGCTAAGAAATTGACTCTTGGTAGAACATTCATCTTTATGATTGAAATTCGTCCTGCTAAAGAAATTGTTATATTAATCCACTTTTTTAGGTCATCTTTAATTGTTGTTTAATTGTTATACATTCTTTTGTAGTTTTTTGCTACTATTTCTCACTCATTTTTGAGAGTGTGTTTATTGTGTTGAACGTCACCTCCTGCTGGCTGAACCACAACGCTGGTAGGCGGAGTAGAAGCTCTGTTAGTCCCTCTTGTCTTGTCCTGGAGGATTGTCACAGTTGATCCCAGGACCTCCACCTGCAGGCCTGTTAAAAGCCTTTCTTCACAGACTGCTGCAACATTTTGACGGTGTCTGTGGGACCTCGGGACATTTGAAGATGCCGTTGTCTCGTTCCCTGTCCATGACGTCCCTGAGCGGGGTCCTGCCGGCCTGGGAGGAAGAGGAGCTGCCTGTGGAGGACCTGCTGCTCTTTGAGGTGGCCTGGGAGGTCACCAACAAAGGTCAGATCACGTGTAATGGTGCTTTAATAACCCGAAAGAAATGACATGTCTGAATTCATGCATGATTCCAAGTGTAGAAGGCCTTCATCCAAAAAATTGCAAATTATACAGTGAAAATATGGATTTATTTTGACATGTAAAGCCTTTTCATTTCAAGTGTTTAAACAAAGTATTTTGGAATCAAAGCCAATACAGAAAATGTAGTGGAACTTCATTTTAGTACTTTGAGAGTCTGGCAATTGGTAATATTTTGTGTAAATCTGTGCCTCTTTACCCTTTAAAGAGCAAATATTGAAATACAGTGAGCATGGACAGAGGCTGTTCACTCTAAAAAGTTAAACATTGACCTGCAGATAAGTGCTGAAAGATGAACCGCTTGGATAATATGTTGGCCGTTTAAAACTCCTGATGCATACATGTGAGAAAATTAAAGAACAAAACATGAACAAAAAAATACTTTGACATTTACAGTAAATAAACTGGATGAATACATTCCTGGCGTAACAATTTATAAATGATCACATGTACAGTAGCTTGACTTGACTTTCTGCCATACTACTGATGTGGGGGTCATGATCTCTGTACTTTGGATAATGTGGAGGTTTTGCAACATGTGTAACATTCAACTCGGGCTGAAATCTGGTGTGGAAACGGTCCAACAGTAACTTCACATTTTGTTTTTTACCCCATGTGATACTCTTGAATACGGCCAAATACAAACATATTTTACACAAACACCATATCAGATTAATTATACAATATTAACAATCATCCATGTGTGATGTTTATTCCTCAATATATATCTTAATATTATTCTCAACCAAATACCAGTTCCTTATTTCCTGCAAAAGAATGTTACTCTAAGATGTATATAAAGAGTAAACTTCACTGATGTTTGAAAATGTTTATATCTTGACACCTTTGAGTCTGGAAAAATATCATTGCCAGATGTTTTTGGCCTATTACAAAATAAACACTTGAATTAAAGACTATTTCAACACATCAAAACAAATAATTCCTCTGACTTACAAGAGCCAAAACTAACAGAGAAGTCAACTGCATAAAAGTTCTGAAATTCATTTTTGCCTTGGAACACATGTGCCTCTTCAAGTCTCTTAATAACTAGAAATATGGATATTTGGCCCATTTCACTTGCATTTAATCAGAATAATCAGGGCTTTATGAACATGAACACATTTGCATTAAACATTTATGGTTGATGTAGAATTTAGGTTTTCTTTATAAATGTGACCGTGTCATATTTACCAGCCTATACCTGAACAGTAAGACAACATCAGAAATGTGCAAAAACATTTGACTAGTCAGACTATGAACCTGATCTGTTTGACTTCAAAGGGATCAACATGGTAAGTTCACTAAAGCATCATAACCATGAATAACAATATGCACATGTGACTTGAACTGCCATAAAAAAGATGTGGTTGCAAACACATCTTGGAGGCCATCAGATCTTTGACCTTTATTAGTATGTTGAGGAAAAACAGGGTCCCAAAGATAAACCTGAGTGACCTTCATCTGTTAATATTTGAAGGTTTAGAAAAAGTTTAAAAAACATGTTTTCTTTTTCAATTTGAAGTTGGAGGAATCTACACAGTGCTCCAGACCAAAGCCAAGATCACGGTGGATGAATGGGGGGAGAACTACTACATGATGGGGCCCTACTACGAACACAACTTCAAGACACAGGTGGAGGCCTGCGAGCCCCCCAACCCCGCCGTCAGGAAGGCCATGGACGCCCTCATCCACAACGGCTACCAGGTGACTGTGTGTTACACAAATTGAAATGTCTTATGTCTATTGTGGAGACATAAGTTGGAAGGCCGTTAATCGTAGGATTTGTGTCCCAAACTCAAAGTATCCTTGAGCAGGACTGCACTGTGTACCTGTAGCTTCATTTAAAAAAAAAAAATCACTGCTCTGCACCATTTCTATGTTGATTGGCTCGTCAATAAAGACCAGCAACTATATGATTACATACTTGTCAGATATTTAATACAATACAGCTTTATTTATAAAGCACTTTAAAACCTCCAGACCAAAGTGCTGTACAGTCAAATAAACAAACAAAACATACACAAAATCACACAGCACAGCTCACACACCATAAAACAAGTACAAGTAAAAAAAACAAAAACAATAGACAATTTAAATGCAATAAAAGCAACCATCTAAAAGAGAATTTAAGAGAACATGCAGTGCAAAGGTTATGGAAACCCTTTGCACTGCTAATGTTATATAAATAATACATTAACATGTCCATGAAATGTCCTTTACCTTCTGTGTATCGGTTTGATTTGTACTATGTCAATGCTTTCACATTGATGAAGGGGTTAGAATGAAAACATAAAGAAGAACAATTGAAGTATTACTCAACTCGCTTTTTTTGTCTAAAATGTCCTAATTTATTTGATTTGATGTGGTGTTATGCATATTGTTTTTACATAAAGAACACCCTAGCCTTTGCTGTTTCTTGTAGGCTCTAATCTTTTCTGTCATTTACAGTAAAATGCAAACAGTAAATTGACTCAACCTACATTTCTTGACTTTCCCGACATATTAGTAAGTTTAACCAACCCAAAATATGTACAAGTTCCCCTTACTCCTGCAAAATGCTTTGAAACTCAAGCCAAATGTTTTGAAGCTTAAGCTTAGTAACAGTTGTAGAGTGTACCTCTTTCTCTGAGCTTCCATTACCGATGTTTAGTTTAGTTTATTTGTTTATAGTGTCGTGGACAGTCCCCAATCAACTGTCACAAAAAACTGTAAATGGGGCAGCTCTAGCCAACATGGCTAATTTCCAGCTGTTGTCCCCGGCCAGATGGTAATAGACACCCTTCAAATCACAATATATCAATGTTGTTGATGTTGATGCTGCAGGTTCATTTTGGCCGCTGGCTGATCGAGGGCAGCCCCTTTGTGATCCTGTTTGATATTGGCTCTGCGGCCTGGAACCTGGACCGCTGGAAGGGGGACCTGTGGGAGACCTGCCAGATCGGCCTGCCCTACAACGACCGGGAGGCCAATGACTCCGTCATCCTGGGCTCCCTCATCGCCTGGTTCTTCAAAGAGGTCAGCAGCTGGGCAGCCTGAGTTCTAAAAGAAAAGGAGTTTAGCACTTTTGGGTTCTCTCGTCTTGAGGTCAATTGTTTCTTGAAGGCGTTTTAGGTTAGATGCTTGAAATAAGGTATGTCATTGATACAAGCTTATGAGATTTTCTTGTTTTTTTCTACAACATACATAAGTCAGTTAATCCCGCACTCGTAAAACATTTTTAAAAAACTGTGGTTGCTAACAAGTGGCTAAATGAAATGTATTAAACGTCATCACGCAAAACTCGCTTAGTGATGCTGAGTTGAAGTCATGTCACCGTCATGTAGTTTGTATACAGCATTGTGTTGGCTATTTACTAGTGGCAATTGTACTTAAGCTTAAAAAATGTTAAGAGTGGTGTTAATGTGTGGAGATTATCCCGCGGAACAAAACGTATAAGTATGATAAACGTTTGTTTGCCACAGAGCTTATTTTCTGCAATTATCAAAAATCCAATGGAAAATCCAAATGGCTTTTAACGAACTAGCCGTGGCGATGCTAACTTCCCGGTTGACCTACAAAAATACTTTTCGCTGCAACACTCTATAACTGAATTCAAATTCCACTTTTTCCTTCCTGCTGCTTTTTGTGCTTACAAAAGTGTGGATTGTGGCAGCTACAGTTAGTTTCACATGAATTTAAACATTGCTATTTCCAACCCAGTTTTTTGTGTTTTCCAGTTAATAGACCAGCTGGGAGACACGCCCAATGTCATTGGTCATTTCCATGAGTGGCAGGCGGGTGCAGGGCTTATTCTCTCCCGTTGCCGCAAGATTCCCATGGCAACGGTCTTCACCACACACGCCACCCTGCTGGGACGGTATCTCTGTGCTGGGAATGCAGACTTTTATAACAACCTGGACAAGGTGAGAGGCCAGGAAGGTTGGAGTGGAGTTAAAATAGATGCATTCACACACTGCTGAAAACTAGACTGTAACAAATATGAACACAAGCTGGAGATCTGCAGGCGGTGTTTTCAGTCAAATCTTTGTTTTAGGCCTTTTTCAGTTCAGTTTATATTCATAGCTTACATGGTGCTTATTCATATATATAATTCATATTAGTTAAATTACCACAGACATCAAATCTTGAACCATTTGTGATAGAATTAGTAATGTAAAAAATATTTTTAAAAAAGGTTTAAGTCCTGCCTACTTTTATACTTCCACCTGACTTATCACTGTATAATTACAAACTGAAACTTCAGTAAAGACTCCAATAAACAGTTTATCTGAATAAGCATTAATTTTGCATTCATTGAGACAATTTAAAATTATTTTTATACAGTGGAAAAGTGAGTAAAATCAGCTTCGAGTAGCCAGTCATTTTAACTTTTACAAATAGTCATCCTCATTGGTTTCAATTGGTTTTCAAGTAATATATTTCACGGATTTTGGAAAAGGTCTAAGAGTCTAGAAATAGATCAATCTCAATCTTGACAACATGACAGGATATCCAGATATGACCTTTGACCGAACCTAAAACGTGTCTCTCTTACTGCACATGTGATTCAACACAAGGCTTTATTAAGGACACACACGCACTCACAGTTCTGTTCAACCATATTCATTTCCACATTCAGCCAAAAAGTTGTAGCCTTTGAAAGCCACTTAGAGCATCATTAGGCATGTTGAGGTGTGTGTGGGGGGGTCAGTGTGAGGTTTGTAATTGGCTCTGCTCTGCGCACATCCTAAAGGTCAGCATGGAGCGAAAGGCCACTCTCTAGCTCAATCGATAGTTTCCAAGATGTTTGTAACCCTTAGCCTGGATAGGAAGTCCGGGAGAACTCAACTACTTAAGTGGATTAATATCAACTAGCATTTTCATCGTTGAAATGTTGAATGTAACGCACTATATGCCGCCATGATAGGGGAAACAAAGCGTAAAATGGATTCAGAGAGCTTCAAACACATGTTGTACTTTGAAAATAAAAAGTGAAATGTTGTTAGTTTAAATGAAAATGGTTTGTTACGTAGAGAAATCCTTATTTTTCTCGTTTCATGTTCTATTGTCTGTCCTTAGATTGTGAGAGCATTTCACAGTTGAATTAGCTGTGCGATGCTAACCAGATCGCTAATGCTAATCCATCCAAGCAAATAAAACATGAACTCACATTTACAGTATGTCAGGTCTATGTAAACCGCTTTAGTCCAACCATATCTTACAGAGAGAGGATTAATTGCATTCAGACCATGGCCAAAGTATGTAGAATGGTGTAAGTTACAGTTTTCCAGAAGGCAGGGAACTTCAATAGCATTTAACGGCAGCTGTCTCTGTTGACATGGGAATGTACACCAATCTACCAACGACTACTGAACTATATCACAAATATTAATATTACACCCATAATGAAGACATGCACAAACTATCAACATCAATATTGGAATGGGTGTGTTTTCTTCCAACCACCCTATCCTAACATTGTTTAACAGTCCCTTAAAAGGATTTAATTACATTGTAATGTTCTTGCTTTCCGGTATTAAAACTGTCTGTGTGTGTTATAGTTCAACGTTGACAAGGAGGCGGGTGAGAGGCATATCTACCATCGGTGCTGCCTGGAGAGAGCGGCGGTGCACTGTGCTCACGTCTTCACCACCGTCTCCCAGATCACCGCTGTGGAAGCCAGCCATATGCTGCACAGGAAGCCAGGTAGGGAAGACTTTCACCGTTGCATCTTGATACTCCACAGTGTGTTTTGTTGTGAGGATGGTGAAGTCAGTCAGTTGATCTATTTGTCCAAACAACTCCAGATATCTTCAAAGCTATCAGACAGATTAGGGCAATAGGATCAGATTTTTCAATGATAACTGCTTTTTGGTGGTTGTGTACATGACGATAAATAACTTGAAACTAAAGCTCTACTATTGCTGTGTCGATGGCACAGATGTGGTGACCCCCAATGGCCTGAATGTGAAGAAGTTTTCCGCCATGCATGAGTTTCAGAACCTGCACACCACCAGCAAGGCCTGCATCCAGGAGTTTATCAGAGGACACTTCTACGGGTGGGTAATTAATTGTAGGTAGTTTTAGATCTCTAGATTGTAAAAGGAAACTCGTATTTTTCAGTGATTTATAAAGTGTATTTTCTCAGGGCCATTCCCATATAATCTTAAACATTGTACTTCAGGAAACAATGTATTCATGACTGTATAGTTTCCCCTAGACCTGATTGTTATTCTTCTCATTCTGGCAGTCACCTGGACTTCGACCTCGACAAAACGCTCTTCTTCTTCATCGCCGGACGCTATGAGTTTACCAACAAGGGAGCTGATATTTTCCTTGAATCACTGTCAAGACTCAACTACCTACTAAGGGTAAGGTCCTTTTTGTATGAATGAAAAGTGTGAAAGTCGACCTTCAAAAGAATTATAACCTTGTTAAATAAATAATGTGCATATTTTCCATTTCTTTATCCGAAAAAAGAATCACTTTTGTTCCCCTGTTTCATCTTTTCTCACTCTGTCCACAGGTCCACAAAAATGATATGACAGTGGTAGTTTTCTTCATCATGCCAGCTAAAACCAACAACTTCAATGTGGAGTCACTGAAGGGACAGGCGGTACGCAAGCAGCTGTGGTAGGACCTGATTTGTTTTACGTAACAGTTCAATACCAACAAACATGCGGTATAAGCACTTTTTACTGTATGTATTAAAGCCTCTAACACTCAAAATCAACTTATAATTGAGACATCAGCAGATATTGTTCTGATGGAAATTATGAACCATAATCGGATTTGAGTAATTACAGTGACAGATAAGCTTTCTTCTGCTGTAACCTATACAGTAACAAACATTTAGACCAGGGCCGAAGATCATAAGTGGTGTGAGGTTGATGTAGCACATAAACGCCTCTTTAGGGAGGAGGTTGAGGTTTAAAAACAGTGTGACTGACACTGAAGATTGTTTTGATTACCTATATTACTCTCTTATGGTACCAAAAGTTAACTTTGGTTGAAGAATGTACATGAGCATTGCTAAAACATCATATTGAACAACATTAGTTTAGGGAATCCTAATGGTAACCTGACAGGCCTACTGTAAGCCAGTTTACAAACCTCTAGACCTTAAAATAAATCCTCCAGCATGGTCTCTCAAAATCCAAATTCCTTTTGTATTTGTTATTACAGTAGAGGGGGTGGTCATTATTGCTCCTTACAAATGTTTTTCTTTGCAGCACCAACCATACTGTACAAGTCGGTCTCAGTTTCCCATTTCATATCATGTTCAGCATATGAATTTGGGTTTTGCGAGTCTCGGTTACTTAGTAAATAAAAACATACATTAGGGCTGCTCAATTAATCGCAATTACGATTATGGCTTGCAACGATTTAGAAAACAACGTAATCGAAATAAAACGATTATTTTTTATTACTTTTTAAAAAAATGTTTTTTCAGTTGAATTATACTTAAAGTTCAGG